AGGAAAAGCTTTTTCCCTGTGAGGGTGACAGAGCCCTGGCCCAGGCTGCCCAGAGAAGTTGTGGAGTCTCCTGCTCTGGAGGCTTTCAAACCCACCTGGACATGTTCCTGTGTGACCCGCTCTGGGTGATCCTGCTCTGTCAGGGGGTTGGACTGGATGATCTTTTGAGGTCCCTTCCAATCCCTAACAGTCAGTGATACTGGTGCTTTTAAATTCCTGAATGAGGTGGCACCTAAATCTAGGTTTAATCTGGAGAGTAAATTTAAGGTATTATCTTTATTGGAGTGGAAGAGAACTCTCCTTCCACTATTCAGAGCTCTTTTCTGTAAATTCCATATTGCTCTGATTACATTATGATTGACTGATGGCTAATCCTGCAAAAAGGAAAATTTTTCACTTTCTTTGAATGAAGAGGCCGAATGGAGGCAGTTTCTTTCACACTAAAATATGCAAAGTTTTTCTGGTCTGGTTTAGTTTTATGAAAAGCATATGAAAACCATGAAAAGTTCTTTACAAGTTACACTTTACAAGTTAGTAATAACTTTTGATGGGCTCTGTTTTGTAGAGTAGAGTTCAAAAGAGTGCCAGTGGTATAAACGGCCATCCCATTCTCCCTTTTCTTAGTTATGTCTGTGGCCATTACTTGGCAGAATGATTCTTCTCGATTTTACTTGGTTTAGTGTGGTTTCAGGAATATGCTTGTATTGCCTAATACTGAAATTGCTAGTTGGAGGAGCTTGTCATCTGGCTCATCGCATGTAATTTTAATTTAGCATTCCAGCTTTTATAGTTCTCCTTGCTCACTCCATAAACGTTAACTGCTTCTCCAGTAAAAGGCTGCCTTGGGTGTCCAAGGCAGGAGAAAGAGCCTCACCAGCTTCATGCCCTGTTCCTCTCTCCAGCCTTCCTTACTGTCCCAGTCCAACAGCATGACCAGGAAATTCCTTTAGAAAAGGGTTAACCTGAATTCCTGCAGTCCCAACATTCACACAGTTGCTGTAATGTAAAAATCATAAATGTACTAGAATTCTTCGGTTCATCTCAAATAAAGAATGCTGTTCAGCTGATGGCAGCCTACCTTCTTTAGATTTTTATTTTAAAAGATGGCATAAATGTGTACCAAGAAAGGTAACTGCCAACAACAAGAACAACAAATTAATATTGCCCCTCTTGGGAGGTGATAGTAAGAAAATGGGCTGTTTTATCTTCTGGTGTTTTTCCTTCGGCACTTGTGATTCGGAAGATTCTAATACACAAGAAATTGAATTCTAATACACAAGAAATTGAAACTAGTCAAGAGAAACGAAGCTTGAAATGGCATCTCTTAGTGAAAGACTTGAAGTTTTTCAGTGATTCTCATTTTAAGGAAAAGCCTCAGGGTTAAAACAAGCTCTTTTACCTCTTTTTATGTACCAGCCATACATACAACACTCAACGAGCAAGTATCTGATTTTCTTTCCGCAGAATGAAAAAGCGCTGTGGGAAGGGCCATCTATGAAATATAATTGATGTGGACGCTCTTAACTCTTCTGAGACTATTTTTGTTGTTATGTTTCCAGATAAAGGCACTCGAGTATGTATAGGAAAAATAAATACATATGCCTCTTGCAGTGTGTTGTAGCTGAAAATTAAATATTTTTCTACTCCAGGCTTGGCATATTTCCTGGAATCACCAAGCTTTCAGTAACGTTTTTAGTTAATATTCTGCAGCCTACTGTTCTATTCGCTGCAGCTGACATGAGCTTAGAGAGTTTGTCTTTGTTTAACCTTAGAGAGGAATCCCAAGCTTGCTCTGTAGTCGCCAGAGATGTTAGGAAGGATCTGCTCCAGACCCCAGTGGAGAGAGTGCAGGCAGGGTCCCTCTCTGAATTGTGCCAGCTATAACATTGCTCCACTGGTGATACTGGAAATCCCACAAAACAAGACTCCTTAAAGTGAAGTTAGCCTTTATGATTAATGTCTTCTTTCGTTATCCATCCTTTTCCTTCGTTGGCTAATATCTTGATGAATCCTGTCCTTCGAAGGCTTGCATCCCACTGCCTCGTGTGATGTTTGGGAATGGAGGACACTGATTAGGACGTTCCTTTTCCACTTGAAAAATACACATATATCCTTGTGGAGAGGGGGTGAAAAAAAAAAGAACGTAAAAAGCCCCAATGAGAATGAACATCCTACATCACCTTTGCTCTTTTAAGACTTAAAATTGCACTGAGGGCTTGGGGGGCAAGGTGCTTCACCTAAAAGTCAAAGCTTTTAAAGACGCTGATTCTGATTCTCTGCTCCATTACACATTTTTCACACTGATGTAGCTCCGTGGGACTGCTTTGCCTCTTTCTTGTCAGCTGGTAACAAGTGAGGAGAATGTAAATGGCCGGTGGCGTTAGTGCTGCCAAACAGACAGTAGCAATCCTTTAAGTTGGGTGGGTTTTATAGCTTCTCCTTTAGAATAATTTTATTGGTGAGGTTGACTGTTATCCAGCTAACTTTTAGTTATTACAGTTTTAAGACGGTAGTTACCCCCCAAAATTAGTATTCGCTATATCAGCCGTTAGTAGTAGTATTGGCGATAACCCTACTGTCAGCAATATTAATACCAGGAAATTAATGCTTGTGTGTATTTGTCAGTAAACATTGGCATTTAAACGATGTGACAGATTACGCATTGATTTCTACGGATTTCTGTTTCATTTATGGAAGGAGGTAAAGTTGAACTTGGTGAAGTAGATTTTCCAGCACTAGATTTATTCTTTGAGCGGGTGAAAATTCTTGAAGATGCGCATCTTAGCAAACTGAGCCTGATTTCAGTTGTTCATTTTACTGAAAGTGACGGTGGAAATTTCCATCGTCAGAAAAAGCTGGAGGGCTCCCCTCACGAGATAGATGCGCTCTGAAAAATGAAGAAATGGGATGCTTGTCGGAGATAGGAGGTCTACTCAGCCTGGACCGCCGTGCGGACCTGTAGGGGTTGATTTGTAGCCAATATCTTTAAACTGCAGGGTTCAGTTTGCAAACACTATTGTGAACCAAACCCCGCAGGGTTCAGTTTGCAAACGCTATTGCAAACCAGACCCTGCAGGCTTTGCCGAGCTCCGGTTACTATTATTGCTCCTCGTAAGGCTTATTATCCTGTCACGGAAAATGTAAGAAAATCCATCTTTCCCCTTTAAACGTGATAAGCCTTTGTCACCTACAATGCAATTAATGTTAAAAATAGAAGAGGGCTGATGATAAGATTGTAACTTGCAGGCAATGAGCCATTGTCCAAGTACAGGAGACTTATCTGGAGGGCCAGTCAGCCGACACGGCTTGCTGTCAGCGTGCTGATTGCGATTTCTCTCCGAGTTTGATGAAATATTCATGTCTTTGCTGTGCTCTCTGCAGGCACTATTGATTTCTTGTATAAACGCGGCTATATTTAGTCTAGACAAATGGAATGTGGATTGCTGCTGAATAAATGGGATGAAAGGCGGGGCGGGGGTGAGGTGGATGGTGTTGCCTGTCCGTTTCTCTTGGTCCCTGGCAATTATTTATAATCAGGACTGGGTTTTGTAAGTTAAAGGTGATTTTTTATAATTTAGTGGTTAGTTCCAGAACAAAAGTAAACACTTAGACGCAATCATTCTGTTGGGATAGCGAGTTAAGGAGGCAAATTGTGTTCTGAGGTTTACAGACATAGTTACTAGGCTTTATTTTTATTTTTTTTTAAAGCCCAGAAAATTTATTTTCCAGAATTTTGAGAAGAGCATGATTAGTAGAAGAGATTTGGTACCTTATCTCTTCTTTATAAAACTTTTTACTAATAGATTTATTCGTACAGTTAGAATTCAGTTCTCTCCATTTGCTGCAGTTTCAACTTTCGCTCCTTTAGTTTTACTGCTCTTGCTTGCTAGAAGATTTGTTTCATTTTGGTTTTCTCCCTAAAAACAAATAAAGCTGTAGCAGAGCAAAATGAGAAAATGTGCCTAAAGTCTTGTTCCCTAGTAATTTCTGACAGCATGTTTGTTTGCAGTCGGTAATCTTATTTTCCAGCGAAGATAGAGCCGTAGGAGCAGGAACAAATGTGTTTGTGTTCCACTGTCCTCTCGTGGATGGAATCAGAATTGCTGAGCTCTAGCAGAGACCCTCAGCTGCTATTTATTTTCCTTTTGTAGCAGTGTTACTTGCTAGTTTTTTAGTCTTTTGAAACAGATAAAGTTACACTGTCTCTTCACCTAATGTAGAAACCTGAGCTTTACAAGTGCTGTGGTGAAAATCATCAAATCTCTCTCTTCTGCTGCTTTTTAGTCCCTTTGATTTAAAGAAGGAGATAGAAAAATACAGGATTCTTCACTAAGTACTTTAATGCCATATTAACAGTATATACTGCTGCTGCAACAGATTGGAATAATCCAAGATGTTTTTATTTTACTACAAGCCATATATAGTGCATTATGTCTAATCTACTGGTCATCCCTTTTCAAAAAGCTGTGTAAAAATTTTTGGCTTGCGTGTTAAATTATTTCCCTATGACTTTATATGTTATTCCCTTGTGTTTACCAGGTATATTTACATGCAGTAGCTATGTGGCATTGGGTAGCTGTTCATGTCTAACATCGTCCTAAGGAAAATCCGCACACTAGCTTTGGAAAATCACTTGCAATGCGGTGAGAACAGGAAGGCTCCATCTTCTGAAGAAGTGTTTATTGTGAAACATGAGTCGTGCCTAGGAGATTCTCGCTAAATATTGCTCCATCAGGCTGTGACATGGGTTGCTTTTCAGTCTGTTTAGCAGAATATTAATCTGAGAGTATTTTTGCAGAGGATGGAAAGTAAGCGATAATTTGTAAAATCCCCGATAGCTAGTAGGAATGTGTGACGTTTGTGTGGGTTGCATTAGATTTTGTTAGGGCTGTATGTTGGAGCAACCTTTGAAATTGGCCTTTTCCACAGCAGGAGTGATCTCTGTTCTCCTTCTCCAGTTATATTTTATATATGTACGTTATGTCGTTTTCTTCCCACAGTGGATGTGAAGTCGGAGGTTCCCGTGGGATTGGAGCCTATCTCGCCGTTAGACTTGCGAACTGATCTCAGGATGATGGTTCCCATGGTGGACCCGATTATGCGTGAAAAGCAGCTACAGCAGGAACTACTTCTGATCCAGCAGCAGCAGCAAATTCAGAAACAACTGCTGATTGCAGAATTTCAGAAGCAGCATGAAAACCTGACCCGCCAGCATCAGGCCCAGCTGCAGGAGCACATAAAGGTAGCAACAGTTTTCATTTGTTCCTCACTTGATCTGCCAACTGAATATGCTTAGGCAGACACGAAACGTGCCTGAAAGGTTAGCTGTGACTGACAGGCGGTGTTTGAGGGCATCTTTCCCTGTATTTGGGTAATAAAAGTGTTTTCAGGCAAGACTGTCAGCATCTATAGGTTGCTCACAGCGGTACTATGAGAATCATCAAGCTCGTGAAGCCACCACATCCATAGAAAATCAAAAGTACCTGTTTCACAGAGGTGAATTTTCAGCCAGACTTCAATATGACTATCTTCTCTTTATGTGCGGTTTTGAGTACATTGAAAGACTATTTTTTTGGGGCTGCTCTTTGAGTTTGTTCCCACAAATCAAATTGATAGGCAAGTGCATAATATTTGCATTTGTAAAATAGAGGCAGGCCCTGAAAGTGTTGTGCTTTCACTCTTCTCTGAACTGCTTTCGTATAATGCAGAAAGAAAATTATTTATGAGATTACATGCGCTACGGTAGGATTGCTGTAATGGATTTTGACCGACAATTTATGATTTTGCCTTTCTTCTCATTTTTTCCTTCTGATCTACTTGCCGTTATGCTACTGTGCTAAGCTTCCGCTCGATGGAGCTGACAAGTGCAGCCGAGCACAGCAGCCGGAGTGGGGCGATGCGCTGGCAAGGAACCCTGTGCAGTTTCCAGGCATTTTTGCCAAAACAGAAAGTGAAACCAGAGCAGCAGGCTGCTACCTGACATTGGAGTTCATTCTAGTGACAGCCAGTAACGCACTATCCTGCTTAAAAGACTGGGAAAAGTCAGCTAAGAGATGAGAAGTGTGTAAGCGCGAAAGCAAGCCCTGGTGCTCAGTTATTTTAGGGAGTTGTTTTAGCCAGGACTGACCTAGGAAACAGTGCAAACTGCACTTTCTCATGTCTTTTTGTTCTGTGCAAGTTACAACAGGAACTCCTAGCCATTAAACAACAGCAAGAACTCCTTGAAAAAGAGCAGAAACTGGAGCAGCAGAGACAAGAGCAGGAACTGGAGAGGCATCGCAGGGAACAACAGCTTCCTCCCCTCCGAGGCAAAGAAAGAGGCCGAGAAAGTAAGAGCCAATGTACCGTGAACCCTAATAAGAAATTAATTGATTTCCCTTTGCCTTCTCCCAGCCAAATGAACAGGAATCCGACACAAGCCTATCACTGTGTGAAATACTCAACTAGAGAAGTGGAGCCCGTGCTTGCAGAAAGGCAGGGCCACCTGTTGCACCCACAGAAATGCGTGACTGGTTTGTGCACAGACTTGGAGGACTGCAGGAAAGAACATTGTGACAGACCTGTGCATATGTCTCTCAAGAATCCAGCCCTTTTTTTTTATAAGAAAAAAGGGAATTTGAAAGCCTAAAGTTTCATTTGAGATCTTCTTTCTGAAAAGCTTATTTCCCAATGCAGAAAGCACTACAAAACAGCAAAAAAAATAAAATCACTTGCTAATGCACTAATTTTAGCGTTGTTTCAAGATTGAAAATGTAACAAAATATTGAAGAATAGTTTTGGTTGAGACTTCTGGATACTTTTGCCAGTACTTTTCCAAACTGCCTTGTGCTTGTTCTTGATGCCATTTCATGAGGCCCAACCAAGAGTTATTTCTAGCTCATATATAGCTCAAAGGGAAAGGACAGGTATAAAGGATACTGTTGGAATTTGGTGCTCACTAGAGGGAGACAGATACAAATAATTCTCCTTAGTGAGGTCCATTTAAAAATCAGGTTGAAATACGTGGTGAAGGTGTTAAAAATGCAGCTACCACGAGCTGATTCTGCTGTTTGTCTGCTAAATAACCACAAGACTGAACCACAACAGATTAAGACTGAAGCAGAAGACAACTGTACACTATGCTCCTGCCTTTGCTTCTTGGGTGGAAAAATGTATCAGTTCAACAGTTGTAGATGGGTCATATTGTGGGCTTTAGAAATTAAAGTAGTCATGGTACTTCAAGTACTTTGGTGAACGATGACTCCATAAAGGGATCACCAGCAGTGGGAGGATGGCGGGAACTGCAGGAACAAAAGTTTCCTGCAAGTCTTAAGAAAAATCAGCCTCCATTTAAACAGTTGGGCTTTTTTAGCGTTCTTACCCAAAAAGGAGCAGTGAGGCGAACTCAGTTGTTCCCTTCTCAGTTTGGCTTGCGAGGTGGTGGTTCAGCATGTAGCAGCCAGCCAAGCAGCACTTGTGACCTCCCAGCCCCAGCGTTTGCTGCTGCTGATCTATATGAGTAGAGGAGGGAAGGAAGGTTCAGGGAGGGGAGTTAAATCTGAAGCTGAGGCATAGTGGAGGTATTTTATGGCAACTGGGTCACAGGGGGACATGCTCACCGCTTAGCTGTGTGGTGTCAGGGTTGGGTAACCAAACAGAGTATCAGTATGCCTTATTGCTGCTACTTTCAAAGAAATGCTTTTTCTTCACATTTTTTTTTGGTCACCATTTATGGAAAACTGGAAGAAGAATTTTCTTTTTCATGCTTCTTTTGTGAAGCTTATTATGTCTGTGTGTACAGAAGCATGTCCTGTGCTACAGCTAGGAATTGGCAGCTTAACCTGACATTGACACGCCCTGCTTCTCGTCCAGCGTTGAGCCTGCCACCAGAGGGGTCAAAATGCACTTCGTCTTCTTGCTGTTCTGGTCTTTCTGTTGCTTTTGGGTCCTAAGAGTAGAGTTACCAACTAAGACTCATGCTTCAGACCATGGTCTTCCAAACATCACAGGTACAGGCTCTTAAGTGGCTTGAATAGAAAGTCTCACTTCTGGCTCTTTCTGCAGTGTTCTGCTCATTAGCAAAACAGTATTCAGAGACCACTTTTGCTGTGCTATTGCTATTGCTTTGCTAAAAGAAAAAAACATTCTTTACCACAAACTCAGGGTGACCTTTTCTCACTGTCCTTTTTAGTTCTGTCCTTGGTTTTGTATTTGGGAATTACTAGGAAATAATTTAAATTCTTTAGATACATCTGGCCCTGGATGAATGGCCTCATCTACTGTTGAAAAATTCCTTATGACTTCACTGGATTTGTGGGTTATGGCCAACTTCAGTCTTTTACAGACAAATATTTAATCTGAATGTTAACCCATTTTGACTGATTTCCACCAATACTTTTTATAGTTTATGACATTCCCAGCAGAAAGACATGAGCTCTTCTTTGTGTTTTGGCTTTTGTTTTAAAATATTTTTTTTTAATGGAAATATATGTTGAATTCTGTGTGTCTCAGGGGCAGTGGCCAGTACAGAAGTGAAGCAGAAACTTCAAGAGTTCCTGTTGAGTAAATCGGCAACAAAAGACTCTCCAGCAAACGGGAAGAATCATTCCATGAACCGCCACCCCAAGCTCTGGTACACGTATGTTCAGTATTAAGCTGTTTCCTTGGCTGGTCAACGTATCTGTTAAAACTTGGCAGAATGCTTCTCTAGGAGGGGTATTGACCATCTGTCTCCAGAATGAGACAGAAGTTCAAACAAGAAGTTAGGAAAAAGCCAAAAGTGTAATATTTCTGGTTGAACTGAGGAGTACTCGGTATTCAGGGATGAGATGAGAGTTACAGGGAAGAAGATGCTGTCAGAAATTTGTGTTAATTTTTATTTCAACTGCTTCATCTCTTGATGCTGTCACACATCTTACAAATGTACCTGTCATTTTTCGAAGTCTCTTCATTTTTTTTGCAAATAGAACAAATTTGTGTTTGATTTACTTGGATTTTGAATCAATCACAAAACTTGTTTCTTCTTGAAGAGATACTTCTTTCCAGTGAAATTACTTGAATGGTGTAAGTACCTCACTAGGGTTTTGAGAAGGATAGTCGTCATTTAGATTTTCTTACTTTGATGAATTTCAGTATCCAAAATGGGATATTCTTATGAGACCTTGACCTTGACAAGAATCTGCTTAAATCATTGAAACAAGCGATTTTTTTGAGTCCTGTAATGGGCCTATTACCATTTTAAGAGTTTACAGTTTGTAACCCCCTCCCTTCTTTTTTTGTTACTAGTTACATCCTTTTTAACTTCCTTATTACAGCAGACACATAAGTCATAGAATCATAGAATCACTGAGGTTGGAAAAGACCCTTGGGATCGAGTCCAACCATTAACCCTACTCAACAAAGCTCACCCTTAAACCATATTCTCCAACACCACATCTAAATGACTTTTAAGTACATCAAGGGATAGTGACTCAACCACCTCCCTGGGCAGCCTATTCCAATGTCTGACCACTCTTTCTGTGAAAATTTTCCTGATGTCCAGTCTAAACCCACCCTGTGGCAGTTGGAAGCCATTCCCTCTAGTTCTACTACCAGTTACCTGTGAGAAGAGACTAGCATCATCCTCTCTACAATGCCCTTAGCCTCTTCTTCTTCAGACTATCCAGCTCCAACTCCTTCAATCTCCCTTCATAAGATTTGTTCTTCAGGGCCTTCACCAGCTTCGCTGTCCTCCTCTGCACTCGCTCCCGTACTTTGGTATCTCTCTTGTACTGAGGTGCCTAAAACGGGACACGATACTCAAGGTGTGGCCTCACCAGTGCAAATCAATCCACCAAGATGCACTCTGGCTGCATTTCTGAAAGATTTCCATGTTGTGCCTGAATTGACTTTGAGTAGACAAATGGAAATGCACATGGTGAGCTAGATTTGCACCTTGTACTTGTTCTTTTTAAAAAGAATTGCCGAAGGCCTCCCCTTGGACTTTCCATTCTGAGCTAATCAGAGCATTGTGGTAACATGATTTAATATATTGTTTCTGGTGGAGATGCAGAATTTTTTATTTTATTCCCCCCAAACAACGTGCAAAAATCTTTGAGTATGTAAGATTCCTGGACTAATAACTAAAGCGTAGTTCTGAGTCTCCAAATGAATGAGAATGAGAAGCTCTGCAAAGGATGTCTTCTGCTACACGAGGGAAAGTTGTACCTCCTTTCATGATAGTGGCCCATTTGACAGAGACATTGATTAACCACACTGCATTAGAAGGATAGGGAGAAACTCCAAAATGGGCCAAGTTGAAAGTTTTCCTCCTTTCCCTCTCTCCCCCTTTAAATAGAAAAATCAGCTGGGAAAAAAAACCACCAAAACCCAACAACCAACTGTCTCTGGGCCAGACAATGCAGATTCTTTGCAATTTGCGATTTCTGTGTTCAGGAAGATCTGCCCATACTGTATCTTTCATCCAGGAAAGCACTCTTCAGGTTGGAGCTTCTCTGCTGATATGAGTGCTGCGTGCTGCAGAGTGATGCGCTCCCAAAACTTACAAACAGAACTTAAATGAAGGTTTTATCTACCTTGTCCACTGAATAGTTTGCTTTTTTTTTTTTAACAGATAATAATAACTCGGTATTTCTAGTTAATTCTACACAAGAGTCCCGCCCTGAAAGTCCCCCACATGTTGATGGAAGAGGCTGGATGAACATACATCTATTTGTACATGATAAACAAAACTTAAATAGCTTTTGCTGTGGCTCAGCTGGTTCATATTAAAATGCAACAATCCAAAATGGTCAGTTCCCCAAACTGTTGACAGATCCAGTCTGTAGGTCAACGTGACTCTTATCCTATGTGACTTCTATAATGAGCGCAAAAAGCACGTTCTTGGGAATCCCAAGGAGTTCCGTAACTTACTGTAGAAGTGAAATTGGTTACATGAGGCTGTGGTTTGTGCACACTTAGATGAACAAGAACATAAACACAGCTGAGACATGTGTACAACATGTGTAGATAGTTACTGCTGGTCACCTCAGTGACTGCTAATTTGTGACCTCTCTGTGTCTGCTGCAGGGCTGCCCACCATACCTCACTGGATCAAAGCTCTCCACCCCTGAGCGGGGCCTCGCCACCCTACAAATACACTTTACCAGGAGCGCAGGATGCCAAGGATGATTTTCCACTTCGTAAAACGGGTGAGTTAACGTAGTTTATTCGAGCCCCTTACCCAGCAGTTCTCCCACCCTTTATTTTAACCAGGCTGCCCATCAGCAAGGCAAATATCATAATCCACAAAGGCTGTTCAGGATGATACTATGGGTAAGTTCAAAGATCCTGACTGCATCTTTACAGGGTCGGACTGACCGTGTGGTATCAAGAGTCGGTGTTTCCGGGTACTAACAGCCTGTGCAAGCTTCAGTCCTGATAAATTCGATTTCTAAACAGACCAGCATTTAATGGATGTTTTACATGGGTTTAATAGTGCTCTTTCTTTTGCATGGTTGATACAGTATCTGTCGCCAGATGCTATGCTGCATTTAGACAATGATTTTCAGGACATTTTCAGGGGAATTCAAGAGAAGAGGAGGAATTGAATTGAATTGCGTGTCGTTGGTTGTCAAAGTTGGTGTGTGTATGTGCGTACACATGCATGCACAAACACACATTTGTGTGCTTTTTACACATCGGAATGTGTAATATCATACAAGGAAATGTTCACCTGAATGTTTCAAGAAGGTTTCAGGGGATTTAGCAGCTGAACCTTTTGTCTTGACAACAGGTGAGCTGTGGACTTGGCTTTTTCTGCACCATAAAGAAAACTAGAAGGTGGTAGTGGAGTCCATGTGGCTGTTGCCTCAGGTCCTTGATGCAGTGACCGGTATCCTGGAATGCAGGGAGACACTAAGAGGAGGGGGCAGGAAAAAAAGAAAAGAAAAGAAAAGAAAAGAAAACATTAGATCGCTTATTGCATGAGTCTGCTGTTGAGTGATATAGTTACATTCAGAGAGAAAGTCTGACCCCCTACTGTGCTAACAGCCTTTGAATGTGATTTAGCCACTGGGAGATTGAAAACTAACTGCAGAACTTTTAATGACTTGAAAAGAAGTGGCATTTGGAACCAGCATACATTCAGAAAGAAAATCCAGTCTGTGTATAATTCTTTGGGGCAGACTCTCTAAGCTCATATTATATCCCCAAATATTTTCAAAGGAATGAAGGCATGAAAAGCAAAATGCTAATTTATTCTTGCTGAATTACTCTTTGTACAATATGATGGCAATATAACAAGATTCTATAAAATCTTGTTCAGGCTGTTTGGTCACAGTAAGCCCTCATGTGGTTCTCTGCCTAATACCACTGTACAACATACATTTTCTGTGCCAATAGAATATACGTTTTAATTTTTTAAACAAAAGGATACACTCCGCATCTTCTCAATGGTGTGAATTCATCTACATGCTTTTGAAATGCCAGTTTTAATTTTTCTTCTGTGTTTATATATCTTAAATGTTATGATTGATATTTATGATGTGTCAGACTGTTGATCTGTAAAACAAAACATTTTCAAACATTGTAACAGTAAAGTTTTCTTGCAGCTGCTAATACTTTTATATCTCTGTGGGGGTTTCAAAATATTCCTTAATTCAATTCTCATTGTCTGCATAAGAGGACTATAATATAATTAAATCCAGATGTTTTCTATATGTTATTCCAAATATTTGGGCACGCAATGCATCAGTTCCAAAATTGAACAAAGGACATGATGAGTCTCTGAAAAGATATCTGAGGCATAAATAGACAAATAATCATTAGCATAACAATTTCTGTGGCATTCACATATTAATTCTGATAAGCAAATATAAATGAAGTGGTACAGCATGTTGTGTGTTAGCAAGGAAGTATATTTGATAGCTCTCCACAGCCGTGGAAATAGCAACTGTTAAATATCCTGTTTACACGTCTGATCTCTCTGTGTACAAGAGTTGTTTAATTCCAGCCTTCAGCAACGTCCCTACAAAGGTTGCAATGATTGTTCGTCAGGTTGAGGGTAAAAGCAACAGGAACCAGATCGACACAAGTCAAATGACCCTAAACTGATCTGGGTGGTTACAGGGCCATCCTCCAGGCAGAGGGGACATTGTGGAGCCTGCGTCGTCCTCATGGGACCCCACTAGACAAAGATGTCCCATGAACACTCACATATATGGGCAGGCTATAAGCCTGTGGAAATCTGACCTTTGCCATGAGGGGTGAACCTCTTTTCCTTTCCTTTAGGCTATGAACACTTATTGCCACTGGCTCCTGGTAAACCCTCTGTGGTGCTGAACTTGCATGAAGTCAGCAATTCATATGAAAGGAGACCTCACATTCAGGCTCACATTCAGCCTGAAGAAAGGAATACCTGTTGTGGGTTTTAATCACAGCTTCGTTTTGCTTCTCAATTTTATTGTCCATATTCACAATATAAAATACAGAGGTATTTTCCTCTTCTCCAACTTTAATATAATGCTCTTGGACGATAACTCTGATTGAATCAGTTACTCTTAAAGATCAGATGTAATGGGCAGCAAAGCTGAATGATTCTCTCCTGACATCCTAATGTGTTTTTCAGTGCTAAGAGAACACGGGGCGTCACACAAGCATTACAAATCACGAGTCTTGCTCTCTCTCTTCTTTGTTATCTGTTTAACCTTTGCTTAATTAGTCCTGAAATGGCATCTCCTTATTAATCTTCGAAAAATTAACTCAGGGAGACTATGATAAAGAGGAAAACATTCTGTGCAGCTTTTATTCTTCTAGCATCTAGACTGATGGGATGCATAGATAACGAGGGAAAGACTTAAGAGCCTTGCTCTTTCCATGTTTACAGTAGGTACCAGAGTTAACATCCTCGTGCAGCGGCTGCGGTTGTTCTGTGACTCTCTCATCTGCCTGGACTATTCCTTTCTGTACAAGACGCAGCAGAGCGTGGCAGCAGCGCACAGCCGGGCTGCTCGGGGGGTTGGGGCTGTCCTGTGGGCCAGAGGCCAGGACGTGCAGCTCTTTGCACAGCTGCATTCAGATGCTCTGTGTTGACAGACTTTCGAAAGAGCAGAGCAAGGGGAGATACTGCTTCGCTCGACAGATAAATATACCATAAGGAGAAGCTACACATCTGTAGCTAAGAGCAGAATTCAGCCTAAACAGCGTAAGAACAAATATTTTAAATGCCTGCAACTTTCGCCATGGATGCTCATCATAACGTGGGGTTTCTGCAAAGCACCCAAAAGCCTGAGCAGCACATGGCTCATTAACTTTCCATGAGACTAAATTACCGAGGGAGGTTTGAAAATTCCTCCTTATTACTGAACACTTTTGAATTTCTTACTGACTGTTGTAAGAGCTCTGATGGGAGCTGTGCGCTTGAAGACCTGATCCTTTAATATAGGGAACTTATCTCTGTCCATCTCTTCAGGAAAATATTACCTACTTGACAAGATTTTTGTAAAACAAAGAAAATGTAGCAAGCAACATGCGTTTGATAGGGTAGAATATCTTTTCAAAGAAAGCTTTTGGGGTTTTGTGGGGTTTTTTTCACCTTGTTGAAATAAATGCAGAAATTCTGGCAGATGGCCATAACATTTACATTTTCTTCAGTCTGTAACGTTTCATTTTCTGTGTGCAAGTGTTGATGCAAACCAGCAAAAGCCAGTAAATTCCAATAAAGGTTGACTCTAACCAAAGCTACATGCTTTTTAAAAATGTTGTTCTGGATGGAATTTCTGCATTTTGCCTGATGTTTTGACTTTAGTTGGAAGAAATTCCTGGGGACATCATCATATCAAGAACAAACTGGGTTTTTTTCTTTCCTGAGTTTAGCGCAATCATGGCAGAGTGGGAATGTCAGTCAGTATTTCTATTTATTTTGGGTTTATGCCAGTTGACTCTTTCCTTGCTGATGGAGCTGTAAGATTACAGCTTGCATTTTGCTTAGAGATCTGAAGATCACTCACAATACTATAGGAAAATATATTTTTTAGCTCACTTCCCCAAAATTGGAAGCATGCTCAATGGAAATATTGCATAGTTCTTTTAAATAGCAACTAGTACAAGCTTCTTGCTTGGAGGGGAGAAATTATGTAATTTCATACAGGAAAAAAGAGGAGATGAAGGATTGTTTAATGTTGTGATGAGAGAGAGGAAGAAGGCTGTGTTGCACAGTCATGAAGATCGCTTTGTAAAAACCATATTAAGTTAACCTGATTAGGCAGTAGAATAACAGCGTAGCTCTTGTATAATGAGAGTGAAAAATTCCTGAATGAGAATGCAGCAGATGTAATTTCTTTTTCTAAAAGGAATTAATTAGAATATTTCCTTACCATTATTTTTTCTGCACTTAGTGACGCAGTAATTTACTGGAGCAGATGAAACTGAGAAGAAAAACGTTTCATGTGTGAAAGTTTTTCTCCCCTTCCCTTTTGTGCCACCGAATTCTATTTCTGTTTGCATTTTCTAGGAAAACACTCTCCTGTGAAGTAACAGTATATGAAAAAGCTGGATTTCTTTTGGTCTTCGGTTAAAAAAAATAGGCTTAAAGGATCACAAACCCTCAATTACCATGTCTGCCAAAATGAAGTCGAGCTCAGTAGAGGGAAGTGTTATTTTTTGCCCGTGTTTATAAGCGAGCACAATAAATGGGAGAGGCACTTCGTTTACTGAAGCAGGGAAACAAGGCAAACATGACAGGGATCTCTTCATTTTATCCCATTTTTCAGCGATGCTAAGCATTCCTG